AAAGAAAGGGAGGAATGGGGTTCAACGGCAAGATAGGGGATAAACCCACGCATTCCGACGGCTGTGGAGGTAGAGATATAAGAGAGGCTGAGGGATAAGTGTGAGACAAGACCCTAACTTTTTCCTCATTTTCACCTTACTGTTGTAACTCTTCTGCTGGTAAGTTGCTTTTTCCTGCATTTTACGGCTAACATTGAATAATTTTGACTAACACGTTGACGACGATGTCAGACAATGGTGGGCGACAGCCAGTCTGTCTCGTGGGACGATGTCAGACAATGCTGTCTGACGGTATATCGTTCTAATAATAAAGAAGTGCAAAGGAATAGCTTGACCCTTCAAAGCAAATATCACATTCTCTTGGCACGAAACTGCCTGGCGCCAAGATACTCTGAACCACCATATTCACTGGAAACTTGTCTCCTGGGGTAGTCCGTAGTCCGACCCTCTGATATGAATATCACATCTGCTCAACGCGAAACTATCTAGCTCCCGTGTTACAGGCGAAGGTACGACATTCCTTTACTGACCCCAGCGTCTAGCGCGCACTCCAGGGCACCCGTATGTGCTAGCGCAGGTGAGGAGACAAGGCAAAACCCTTGGCTGCCTGCCATGGTGTCGTTTCCTTTGCTTGGACTATATCTTAGCAAAGGGAACGAGCGGGCTAGTTCTTTGCTGAGTTTTCTGTCATGGGGCAGCAAAAAGTAAATTGCGTTCAAGGTTCGTATCTTCTCTCAGGCATGCCTTGATACATCCCTTGATCAGAATAATTCCTTTACTGTCAAAAGCTCTCGATTTATCAACGAAGCAAAATGTGCGACGCTCACACGCGCAGTCATGAAGCAAACGTTGGAAAATCGTCAACGAGTTAAGGGATTATCCTATGTTGAACTCTGATTTTCTTTTTGGTTTAAGGCACATGCACACACTACCAACAGCACTTCACCGAATTGCCGCAAAGATCCTCAACTCCAAAAGTTGTGAGGACACGCTGTAACTTCCAGCAAGTCAGACACTTCTCTTGCCCCACTGCATGACAGATCGGAATCGCTACTGCTGGCAGTCTCATTAAGCGCAGCTTCATCATCGCAATGAAAACATCCTGTCGCAAAACTCATCCTTTCAGATTCCTGCAAGTGACAAGCCGTAGTCAGGAAGTTTTGAAATTCTATTAGAGCGCTTCTCAAGGCACTCCAAAATAAGTTCGTTGGTGACGTCTCACTGAAAGGATCGTTCTTCAACGTGAAAAATACTGAATTCACCTACGCACTTCAAAGTGGACGCTAAAATAGCTGCTGGTTGTCAGCGTTGAGTATTGGCTGAGCATACATAAAATAACGGGGGCTTGGATGGTAAAAGGAACAGCGCTCACCCAGACAGGCACTCTCTTAGACACAGAGTATCAGGAAAGTGCCTGTTGCTCACAAAGTCTTCTCTACGGTATGGGATTCCTTTACTTCGCCGCCGTACTTTCTTCTTCTTCTATGGATGAATTAGGCTTGAAATGCTTATACGTCTCGCCTCATTTAGTTTCGAGCAACAGGAAATGACTTGTTTCTGTCTTCTGCAAGAACAAAAACAATCTGTTCAAACATCAAGCGATTTGTTTGCGTCGTGTCGCTCGACGCAATACTATAGGCTGCCTTAATTGTTTCGTTGGGTTATCGCCCTACCCTCGCAGCAAGTACTTTTCGGTGTGTAAAACACTAGCAGGAGTCATTCTACCGTTCTCTTCGTCCATCGGTTATAGCTCCTTCTCACGATATGGCCGACCCCATCGCAACTTTGCCTTGGTCATCACAATAAATAAGTTGGTCCAACTCATTCCAGAAGCCGATCACGTATTCTAATGTTTCCAACGTTTCAGACGAGGAGCCGGTCCTCCCATCACCGAGATTCAGGGATAGCATGGGAAGTTTCTTCCTTCTCTCTTCTCATGAAAATGGGTTTTATCTCTGCATAGGAAGAATCGTATTTTATGGCTTAACACTTCAATTGGGAGACAGGTCTTTCCATCGTGAGCTAGCCAGGCTACTTCGCCCGCCGCGCGCGCGAATCGCGCGGCAATTCAGAGGTGATTCACCTCATACAGGCTGCCGTTGGAGCAAGGGAATACCTTTATCTGGCGGCGTCCTCAACCAGCACTTCGTTGGTGGACTGTCCGTCCGTGATCCCTCTAACAGCTTGGACGAGCAATACGCCTACACAACTCGTACTCAACGGTTGCGGCATCGCTAGCACTCAAGCGCGTCAACATAGCAATGCCTCACATCTGAATCGCCGCATATCCCTTCAATTCAGAATTGAACACTGAGCAGATTGAGATGATTTTCTACGTGCGGGCGGAGCCAGACTTGCTATTGAGCCTTTCCCATTAGTCTGCTTTAAAATATCAGTATGGTGCAGCGCCTTTTGCTTCCAAGCCACTTCCGCCCAGTGCACTTCGATGTTCGGAATATCGCTATATTTGAGTAGATTTCAGCAGTGCTTGTTCTTGCATGTTTCCTTCTCTACTCCCGTAGCTTTCTATACACCTTTGTCATACTGTCCATTATATTCCTTTCAATGGGTGTCGCCTTTTTCTTCTATACGGTAAGGACTTTTCAAATATCCTGGCAACCCATTAGCTTTCCAAAAAGTTAGGTTAAATCTACCCAATTCACTTCAGGTTATCCTTCGGATAAATTTCTTCCCGTCGTTGAACTTGCTTGCTTTCGTTTTAATGATAGCTGTGGGTGCAGATGACGCATTCCTTTTACTGGTATACTACAGAAGATTCAGGAAGGTAGGTAAACATTCAACCACCCTGTTTAGCAAAATCACAAATCTCCCCAAGTGAGGTAAGTCACTTGTTCAACACTCTTAATTTTGAATGATCTCAAAATTAGTAGTAGTTTCGAGAAGTCTCAAAACTCCTACTTTCGAGATTTTCACTAGAATTTCTACAGCAATAAATAAAAAGAACTCATAAAGTTGAGAACACCTAGTACTTGGTATTAAGGCAAAGGAAGAACCATATCATATTGGAGATCCATATGTACCGTTGTACAAGGAGCGCGACCGAATGATTCGAGCCATTCGCAGTTCTCTACGTCACTCCCTAGCGTCCATGTTTGTTACTTCAGCAACCACGGCTGTAGCGTTTATTTCGAATCTCAGCAGCGCAATCATCGTTCTAAGGTATGTTAAACAGGTTTAGGACTCATCATTCAATAGATTAGTATATAGTTCAAGAGTGAACCTCACTTTAACTGAAAGCTACCCAATGGCTTCAAATATTCATTGGCCTCCGAGACGAATTCACGAAGATCACATCGGCGGGTGACGTGGGTTTTATGCCGCCGGTTTGCTCTCTCCGCCTCACTAGCACCAATGAAGAAGCCGCAATGACTGGCTGTCTCTGCCCACAAGACCAGCCCGAGCTGGGCCTTTTACCCACTCAAATTGTTGAAAAATCTGGTCTAGTTCTGTCCTGATCGTCTTTATTCCTCTGTCATTCATTGAGGTCAGAATAACTCATCCTTCATCGGGGCTACTAAAGGGATTCCGTTTCACTGTAACGGTGGGTACAACTACCAAAAAAATACAAAGAAAGTAAACGGCAATAGATTCAAGGTAAGTAGAAGGATAGATTTTGTGGTACTGTCGATTAGTGGTCATACAAATGATATCTGTCGCAATCAATCACGGGAAGGTCAGCCGATGCAATAGAAAATGATTCATCCGCGAATGTTATTCCCCTACCCACTGGTTGAATTTCCTCCTGAAAATCGTATCAACTGTCGTCAGAAAAGCGCCGCCGATGACAAGGCTCCACTGCACTCTCCCCTTCCTTACCCGTCCGCTCCCCGAAGCTGCCCGACTGGTGCGAAGAAATCTTTTACAATTATATAAATCTTGGCCAAGTACGAAACCTGCCCCGTTGGGTACGTACCCGTTCAAAATAATGTTCCGTGTTTTCAATGCTTCGGTAACTTTTCGCAAGCGCCTGACTGATGATGGCTCAACTCATCCTGGTTCTAATTCTTTTACCGAGCACTATGGTGCTTACATGTTCCGAAAAGCGTATTCGTCTTTTCTCTAACTTTGAAATGGCTCCACAGCTGTCCCGGTTCATCTATCGATGTCGCTACATTATTCTTCTTTTGGGAATCACTACAACAGCAATCGCTTCTGCCATTAGTGTTTATTGCACCTGGACTGAAGATGCCACGCTACAATCCAACAAAGGTGAAAGCAGTGAAAGCGACAGTTTTGTGCGGGCCTTGGTCATAATCGGTCAGTTTCTCAAAAGATTTCAGCTACTTACGAGCTCAAATCCATATGAATGGTTTGACAACAATGAACATTTGTTTGACTTCAACTGGAAACGAAAGTTTAAGTTTATGGAGAATTATGTAATAGGAGTGGATGAGAAGTCTGGAATTAGGTACGTTTTTTCTGGCTTTCGTGATGGAATTTGATGCGATAGAGCTAAAACAGAAAGGTCAGCGCTACACAAAGTTTCAGAGGCGCAAGCTTATTAAGTCCCTACGTGAAGGGTGATGTATCTTTCGAGAACTTCCACGCAAATTCAACCACGCTGGAGTTTATTAAGGTAATTACTTTTGGTATCTTTTCTGTTTAAAGGCAAACGGAACGATAGATTGACAGCGCGTACGAGGTCGACACACCTAGCACGAAAGAATACTGGGCTCCTTGGCAGACGCTGCGTGGCGCCTTCTTCGACCATAGGCACCATTATGGTGCCTAACCGAGGTGCAACATGCCGACCCAGACGCCCACCGCAACCGCCCGCCCACAAATGGCCGCACAGTCACATCGACGCTGATACTCTTATCGCTTCATTTATGAAGTACAATTGATATGAAGCGCTGCTTCATGGATATACACTCTACTTCGCTGCGGACGGTTGGGCGTGTCAGCCAGTATGAGTGTGCACAGCGTCAAGGCCGTTCTCTGCCTTCTTGTTTGAGCGCGCATGCGACAAAAAGTGGTAGAAAACGAGTAATAATACGATCGATATAATACAGTCATATCATTTGTTCGCTTTAAAAACTGATGGAGAAAGTGTTTGGCACCGCGCCAAACGCAGCCGCATTGACAAGCCC